ATGTTTACTATACGTATATATATATATATATATATACAAGTATGGCTGTGTACGTGCTTATATACATATATATATATATATATATTTAAATATATATATATATATATTTATGTATACATAAATATATATACCTGTATATACGCATATCCATCTACTCGTACCTATACCTGTACATACAAATACACATGTATATATATATTATATTATATAATATATATGTGCATATGCATATACTTATTCGAATGCATGTGCGTATGCGTGTGCATGTGCATATATAAATACGTATCGATGTAAGTATCATGTATGTATAAATATATATATATATATACGCGCGCACACACATACGTATATATATATATGTGTGTGTGTGTATGTCTATATCTATGTATTTATACCTGTACATATGTATATACTTATACACATACACACAAACTCATATATATATGTATGTGTATGTATGCATATATATATATATATATCTGTGTTCGTATGTGTGCCTGTACATATTATAATTTTATATTAATAAACATATATATATATATATATATACATATATGTATTAATGGAATCAATATATATATATATGTATCCATATCTATCAATATATGTCAATATATATATTGTTACTATATGTATATATATATATATATGTATGTATATATAATATATAGATTCAATATATATAAACATATATATGTATATATATATATTGAATCATGTATATATATATATATTTATATTATATATATATATATCTATATTATATATATATATTGATCCAATTTATATCAATATATATATCTATATATCTATATATATGTAAATAGATATATATATATATGTGTGTGTGTGTGTATGTGTATATATATATTGATTATATATGTTTATAATTATAGTTATAGCATCCTGTTCGTTTTTGAATAGGAGTGTAGTTTCACCTTTTCTTCTATGGTACTGTTATATTTCTTCTGAAGTTTGTTATTGTATATTTATGTGTTCTCCCGCTATAATATGGATTTGGGCTTCCGCATGCATTTGGAAGCATGTTTTTGATATTTTTTAAACAACAAACTGCGTCTGATTCTGGTATTCTTATGCCCTTTGAGGCTGATGACTTTGTCCCGATCATGTTCCACAACGCTTCTAATTTATCAAGCTAAATCGAGCGTCGCATACATATTCTCGCAACTCGTAGAGACTTGAGGGGCTCTGCAAGGGAATTCGGATCTCAGGTCCACATGGGTGACATTCTCACCACATCGCCATCCAGGAAGAGGCAGTCGCATGAGCTCTTAGATCGTTATGCCCCATCGTCAGCAACACGGAGCAGTCATGAGAGCGATGAGACTATAAATGGCATGCCGCTCCACGCGATTTCTCACGACGCGTACGATGCACGCGAGAAAGAAGTCAAGAGAAAGCGACGACTGTCGTCCAAGGCTGTGGAGTTCCATGAAAGGTACACGTACAGTGAGGATGCTCCGAGACTGCTCACGAAGAAACCCACCAACTATACGAAGCCTCGACCACACCCTGGTACGCTCAGGTCGCAGATATCGGTACCACTGCCGAGCCCTGTCAAGGTCGATTCACCAGAGTTGGTCAGAATTGTGGAAGTGGATGAAAACATGACCGACAAGGAAGCGGAGAAACGGTTGGGGGCAAAAATTAGTAAGATCAGTCTGACGGGTAAGCAGAAGAAGTCCGAGAGTGTACTAGAAGTGGGGTGCAGAGTGCAGGTGAACAAAGAGGGCAAGCAGATTGGCCGTGTTCGGTTCCTGGATGTCACAGGCGCGTTCGTGCACTATGAAGGATGGGGTGTCGAGTACGATGAATGGGTTGACTTGGAATTGGTCAAGATTGTCGATATGCCCGTCGACGACGATACTCTGGGGCCCAACGGTACCGAGAACGATGAGAAATGGCAGAGCATCAGAGAAAATGCAAAGACCATGGTGGGACATTACAAGACGGGTATCATATTCGATGCCACCACTATGAAGCACGAGTGTACGTGCGACGCGCCCCAATCCTGGCACCCGGAACAACCGGCACGTATTGCATGGATCTTGGGTGAGATGGACAAGGCCCATCTTATCGATCGTTGTTTGCCCTTGCGCTCGCGCGAGGTGCTGATAGAAGAATTGGACCTCGTTCACAGTAGCAAACACATTCAGACATACGGGCTTGTGCCGGTAGGGACTAAGCTTGAACCCATGGAGCTGGAAGAGATGGAGTGTGGTGGCGCTGGTGTTGCGTGCGATACGGTTTACAACAAGGATACTTCACCCTTGTCTGCATTCCTAGCTGCCGGGTGTCTGTTAGAAATCGTGCAAAAAGTCATCAAAGGTGACTTGGAGAACGGCTTCGCGGTGATTCGCCCACCAGGGCATCATGCAGAGGCGAAGGAAGCGCTAGGGTTCTGCTTTTTCAATAATGTGAGTGTGTGCGCAGCAGTGGCTACTCAGCGATGGGGTGTGAAGAAAATTCTCATTGTGGACTGGGATGTGCACCACGGCAACGGGACACAGAACATTTTCTACGACAAGAAGAATGTTATGTATATGTCTCTTCATCGTCACGACGAGGGTAAATTCTACCCGTTCACCGGAGGTCCGGATGAGTGCGGCGATGACGATGGTGAAGGCTATAACATCAATATTGCTTGGAAGGGACAGGCCAAAGTAGGCAACATAGAGTACATCAATGCTTTTAAGCATATTGTCATGCCGATCGCGCGGCAGTTCAATCCTGAGTTGGTGATCGTCTCTGCCGGCTTTGACGCTGGGGAGGGCGATCCTATTGGAGGCTACTCGTTGACACCCGAGTGCTATGCTCGCATGACTGGTATGCTGAAAACATTGGCTGGTGGCAAAATAGTGCTATCACTAGAAGGAGGGTATGCTGCAAAAGCTCTGGCACCATCTGCTACTGCCTGCCTCAAGAATCTGTTGGGCGAGGAAGACCCTAAGTTGCCTTATCCTCGAGCTCTGACTGTGTCTGGTAGGTCACCGTCTCGCACTTCGGTGGGTGTGTTGAACAGTATTATTGACATCCAGAGCAAATATTGGACACTTACAAAGCCGGAGACGTACGAGATCCCAGTAGAACAGTTCAAAGAGAAAGGGAAGCGCAAGAAGGGAAAGAGTAGTTAAATCTTCATTTATTTATAATTAAGAATATCTAGCGTGCAAGAAGAGGGCAATCACTTCGTTTGGGATGAAGGATAGTCTACACTAAATAATGGATTCAACTACGTGGTCTCCGCCCATATCGTGCTAGTATGATATGTAGAGCACGAAGTGTTTCGGGGTAGCTTGAAATCTTCCTTATTCTTGGCTTCGGTGGTGCGCCATAGTTCAGAGGAGAAACAAGGATACAAAAAGGAACTTCTTCTGCATACAGGCATCACGGACAAGTATGCCAGTTTTCTCGCGACGCGCATAATAGCAAGGTTGTAGTCTATAGCATAGTCACATCTAATTCTAGTCCTAGCCTATTGTTTTAGGATGCTGGTAGTCCCAGCGGGTACTTTGTTCTGCAGCTCGTAATGGAGGTACGCAGATCAAATTATCGGCACTTACAATGTACATAAAAGATAATTCTAATATGTTTCTATAGGGTTCACGATGCGCACGTGATTGATCTTTTTAAGGGAGGGGTAGACAGTGTTCTCTTTCATGCAATGGCTGCGCATATCTTGTGCTCACCTCTTGCTAGACCCATCAACGTATACAGACTCACAAAAGTATATGTTAATAATTACCGAGCAAAATATTACGATAGATTAGCTGGATACGAACTATTGAATAGCAATATATAAGCAATTGTAGGCTATGGATGTAAGAGGCCATCAGTAAACACAAATGCACGAAAACTATACGGTATAATAACAAATATATATATTTACATATATT